ATATTTGTATCAACATCAGATAAAGCCAGCATGATTCTACATCGTTATCAATTAGAGGAACAACCTGTATTTAAAGGGGGGGTCCTACTTAGGATCATTGTAAATAATAAGGGCAGTGTGATGGATAAAACATCACGATTACTTTGTGGTTTTGGGAAAATTTCAATAAAGAATTCTAAACATAAGATCAGTGAGTCAATTGAAATTAAAAAAAACATAGAACATTCTGAATGAGAGGAACGAATTTAGGAAACTAAGTAAGAACTCTCTTTGGCTGCTAAATATAATGAGAGAGAAAGAGAGAAGCAACGCGGAGAGGAAGAGCTACTGATTAAGAGGAGACGACTAGACTAATCTGGAGCTTGTTTTTGAACTTAAAATTGTCGACAAATTCGGGGTTGTTTCATACACACGCAAACACGCATCCACGAAGCTTTAACATGACCCAAGACTACTAGATCATACTCTAGTTTATTTACAAATAAATGGAGATTTTACTTATAGCAGCTTCAATCACTAGTACCTAGTTTTATTATATCTGGGAGATCTATGAAGGCCCTATTCAACTCTAGTCTCGTTTTCGAATCTACTTCTGCCTAAAAGTTTTGGGCCGCAAGGGTTGACTGACTAATTATAAGACCTCCATACTATATAGTGTTCGGTTTTATGTTTTTTACTATATTGTTTGGTATTTCATGTAGAATAAATCATAAAAATCGGTCTATCTTTAACGAATTACTCGTACTTCGATGGCGGAAGCTTTCTATTCAACTGTGAGATAATTTTATGATAGCTTCTAGAAAGCCAGGATTTAACTCACCGTCCACCTCTCAAACACTGGTCTGGTTTTGGGTGCCATAGATCACTTTGGCTCACTCCCATGAACCAGGTCTTCTATCATAACTGTCGTTAATGAAATAAATTGCAGACTTTATCCAATTCTCTATTAGCATTATCAATGAGTCCCACTCAAAATTTTTAGTGTTCCTTTTCATGAAAGCCTTTACTCCGACTATTTCGCATGTTTCTATCTCTCTTTTTTTGTACTGATTTGCAGCATTTCCTCCCTACTACTGCCTATTCTAACTTGTTTTTGATCTCTCGAAGTGACTATTTGACCTTTTCCAAACTCATTGGGTTTTTCCCCAAATAATTTGTCTTGATAAATTCTCTAAAATGCATCCTAACATGTTGATTCTTTATCTAGACAGATTAGGCATGATCTGCATTTTTTTACTTGAAGTGCTATAACTGCTATTCTCTCGATACTCCTACAGGTTTCGAACCTAGCATCAAATCTTAGAATGAGATTTTAGTCAGGCATTTTCGTCAGTTTTGTCTACCATCCTGTTTAAGATAGGCTACCCTTGGTCTCTGTTTATAGTGGCTTGGTAAACTAAGGGACAAGTTTCAGTCCGGTCACATCCTTACATATTCTTTTAGTAAGAATTTCTTACGGTGGTATAATCAAAATCGAGGAAGACACGAATTTAGCTTGTTGCTTCTTATTTTGCTCTAACTTATGATTTGGTGTTACTGATGATAATCTTGGGGCATACTATATTTCGTTAGCTTGAAAAATCTATCAATTTAAAAAATCTAAAAAACGGGTCCATGGTAATTATGCAAAACGCATCTTTTTAGTTGTCATTCCAAGAGCCACTAAATTTTCGTCTCACCCAAACTTTCGACAGGATACCGACTGCCCGCGCCTGAGGCAATGCCGTCACGGGTGCATGAATTGATGTCGATATGCTGGCGTCAGATCCCCGATGAACGGCCTCGGTTCGGACAGCTTGTCGTTGAGTTGGCTCATCTTCTCGGTCAATCCCTGGAGCCAGAGTCAGACGAAGTTGTCAAGGCCTTGCCGCTTTCGCTTTCTACTGAACCGGTCTTGTCATCAGCAGGCGCCAAGTCTACATTTCGACCTGTCGAGCAGGCGCTCAGCGGCATCTGGTCTCACGAGTCCAAAACTCCTCGCCCTAGCAACCGGCACTCGCGGACTACCCACTCTGCTAACTCGCCACGGCTTGATACAAATGAATCTGCGGTTCAGCCCTCACAAGCCTGGCCGGCTACATCGGCATCTCATGTGTCTGATTCACGTCCCACCTCCGACTCGTCATCACTATTGCCGACTTCTGCCTCATTCTCCTCCTCTTCAGATTCCTCGTCATCTTTTCCTTCTCCTCTGCCCTCCCCTTCGGCTCAGATTCCAGTTTCCACTCTTTTTCAGGCAACCCAGCCATCCCAGGCATGGACTCAACAGTCAAGCCTGCGAATACATTCGAAAGTGTATCCGTCCACCACATCTTCGTCAAATACAATTCAGTGACAATATTTCAATTGTCTCTTCATCAATTTATTCAAAATCGAGAGAAATTTGTTCAGCATAATTCATGCCTTCAAAACGCATGGCTTTCATCCTTCTAGCCAGGCTAGTCTTCTCCTTTTGTACCTCTCGTTTGCTCTCTTTCACTCAACAATAATTTAACTCTCTTCTATACATAAGGCTATGCACCTGCTGCACCACATAGATTAATTTCCCCCTCTAATCTTGTGGAGGATAGCGATTTCTTGTTGCCATCCATTTTTCACCTGGACAAATTTGGTGCTGTTTTTCTGTAAATAAATTCATGTTGGCACTTTACTGCATCTATTTATGATCATTTATACTTTTATATCTGTACTTCCTTGCGAGTGCCTACTGGCATGTGGGTTTCTTGCTCCTTGTTTATGCAACCTGTTTTAGGCAGTTCAGCTTACCGACTGCTTCATGCTAGTAGATATTCCATCCTGATTTTCTGGAAAACCCATCACAGCTTCATCTTGTCAATAATTTTCTTGGCATGCATCATGTTATAACAACCAAGCTCCTTATAAACATTCCATAAATCCCTACCCCGCTTGTATATGCTCTTGTGAAAGCTAGCTTATACTTTGTTCGACTGGCAACTTTTTAAGATGAATGTCTTAATTTTTTGCCAACTTCATTAGTAACATATGGACCAAATTAGGTATATGTTTAAAGATATATGCTCTGAGACGAATGGTCAACTAAGCCGCCATAATCCGGCCTTCAAGCAGTGATATT